TGAAAAATATATATGTATGTAGAGGAACATATTCGTGTAGCTGTCCATAGGAAATATTGTTGCTATTGTAAATTTACCACAGCGGCCTTATTTATTCTGACAGTGTGAAATATTAGTGTGTGAGTTTCCTTAGAATGTGGTGTAATATCGACCGGTATTTCGTACCTTTCCCATGCAAATTTCTTTAAAAAATCGGTTAGAAAAAAGAATGCATTTTACAACGCTTACGGACGTAGGAGTTATTTATTTTTGATTTTGAGTAAATACTTTTATTCAGTAATTTCTTTTTGCTGCTAAGACTAATCTGGACGAGGTCTACTTACGACGTACATATCCATCTCTTTATTAACGCAACTCCGGTAGCTCTCGCAAAAAAACCCGCATAATTCAAGTTTTTTTTAAGCTAAAACAATACAATATTTTGAAAAAAGAACTACATTATAACCAGGAGATATCGGCAATGATAATGTTCTTGTCATTTGATCAAAGTTCAGAATTTATTTTCTGTAAAAATAGCGCTAAAACTAAAACCAAAGCAGAACGTCCGCTAAAAACGGCGAGCGTTGTACTTTATATCAAACATATTATATTATTTATATCTTTATATTTTTTTTATTTTTATTTTTTTTTGTTGTTTTTTTTTGTTTTTTTTTGTTGTTTTTTTTGACCATTTTTTTAATTTATACTCGTTATTACTGCTGGCATAAACCGATAGACCTAAATTTTGAATATGTTGTAACTAAATGTATAACTAATTACATGATAGTATTCATATCTGTCAGTTTTAAAATTTATAACAGATTTTTATCTCAAAGTTATAATATGCTCGGGCAATGTAAATAAATGGAAAATATAAAAAATAATCCAGTTATTGAGGCTTGTCGGAAGCGCTAAAGTCTCATGAGTGTTTCTATGCAAAAATCAACACGCTACGATAATTATTAACGAAATGACGGCAGATTTAAAATTATTTATTTTGTTAAATCGGCGCGTCGCTGTCTCGTTTGCCTACTGGGCTGCCCGCGGCCACGCGCTAAAGTCGTTATGCAATCCGGACGCTCAATTGGTGTCAAACTCAAAGTAAGATATTAAGATGTAATATAATCTAGGGTATCAAATATGCATACACTTTATAATAAAGAAAAATGGGTTGGGGTTATGCCAAATTGTAACACAGTGTTGCAAAAAATGTACACTAAAGCAAAAAGTTCCGAGATAAAGAATAAACGGTATAAACCGCAAGCAAAACTAAATTTTATATTATCTATTCGGTAAAAGACGATAATAAAATAAAAGGGACATATTGTGCTCTTTCCGCACGCATACGCTCAGTACAAATGGTCGAAAATTGGTCAGCTTTTTTTTTCCGGAGCCTTATTTCTATCTGAATGTTCCCCGAGGGCAGCGACGCCCGGAATTGGTCCGGGCTTCTGGACGGAACTGCGAGTGATTGATCGCCCCCTCTAGCCCTTATTACGGCCCTGGGGAGCGATTCTCAGCCACGACCGATCCTGATCGAAACGTAAAAAGCGTAAAAGTGAATATTTTTCGTTATTTCGTTAACCGCCTCAAGTTGTCCTTAAATCGTTTTTCTTTTATATGTTGTCTTTGGTCAGCTTATACATCCATAAGTTGGTAGGCAGTTCTTTTAGTTTCAAAGTTAAGGCATTTTCCAATTTTTTTTATCTCAAAAACTGACTTTCACTGATTTTGATGTTATTACAAATTTTGTTGCAAATATTATTCCTAATCTTAATTTGAAAACCGCGTTTCGCTAGCTACTGTAATTTTGGAGTTACGATTTTTTAAAATTTTTAACCCCCTACCATACCCCCTTTCCAACCCCCCACCCCCACCAAAAACTAATAGCCAGATTCTCGGGTGCCACAGTATTTTTGTGCCAAATTACCAAAAATTTACCAAATTTAAATTACCAAAAGATTACAATGTTGTTAACTTTATTATCAAAACCTGCTACAAAAGTTTTTATCATCCGTATAAATAACGGCAAAATAAATATTTTTAATGGATCGTCCGATATACAACTCGCGCGGTTTTTACGGGGCCTAGTTATGGCCAGTAACATCAACAAACCGACCAGTAGTTTCGTTTAATTACGTTGGAGGACATCAATTATATTTACCTCTTCGTCCGGAGAACAGAAGGGGAGAGAACGATGACGCCGTAAAAACCGTATAAACCGCCGCGATTTCCTTTTAATTGTTGCCAATAACGCGCGAGCTTGTACCGAACGATCCCACAGAATATTTCATTTCGAGGTGATTTATTGTTTTATTTCTTTCGCGTTAACTTTCCTTGTTTCGTGGAAATTACTTTTTATTGGTCTTTATTTTTTCTTTATATCTCGCGAGGGATACGCTTTAGGTTGGAACTTTTTCTGTTATAATAAAAGAAATCCACACTGTTTTAGGAAAATTAAAGGTATTAAGCTTTATTCAGAACCTCACAGTTAGTGGAATAAATTAGTGGTTTCAATTACACTTTATACTTTTTGGTTTAAGATCATTCACAATGTTTAAAAAACACATTTAAAATTAATAGAATATCCTAGCGTTAGTCAGTTGTATCCATATAGACGGGCGAGATTTATGACGTCACGCTAGTTAGATATAACGGATTAATAAATATGTTGTAGAATACATGGAAAACATAATTATTCCTCAGATTTTTGGTTTGTATTTTAAAAATGATATAGTTTACATGAAATATACATAATATACAGTTAATAACTACAACATTTATAGTAATAAATACTTTGGCAAATAAACTATGAACCATACAAATGCAGCAAATGTTTTACAATGTACAAATAATGTATAGGTACATAAGATAATGGGTAAAATGTAAATATATTTTAAATTTTGGGGTTTGAAAATCGATCTAATTTAACAAAAAACATTCAATATCTACTAATAGTGATGTATTATTATTTGCATTCACAAAATTTATAGGTATATTTTGCAAGTATCAATGTTCGAAAAATTATATTTACAAATAATACAATATTATCTAAAAAAGGGCGTCAGCGATGGCTATGAAATGAAGATCGCTGGCATTTTATATGTAAAATTATTCTAAAATTTTTGATTTTCTTGTGATTTTTAGGTTCGGGAAAAATGCTGATTTAAGTTTTCATTTGGGTTTTCATTATTTTTATTTGGTTTAAAAAAACGTTTCGGCTAACTATAGCCTTTATCAGTGTTGTGTCATATGAGAAAAATAGTGTCGAATATAATCCAAAAAATTACATATTATTATACAATATAATTCACACCTCATAATGTTTACTGCAATTAATAAACTTATATAAACTTATCAAAAGATGACCACATATTTTTTAAAATTATTATTCTTAACACTAAAATTATCTGCATTGACTATGGAGTACGCAGTAAACGTTATGTGTGTGGCGTGAATATTTTATATGTAAATTTTTGGATTATATTCGACACTATTTTTTTCATATGACACAACGTTGATGAAGGCTATAATGTTTTAAGTATAGTTACGCAAATTTTTAAGTATAGCTAATGGAAAAGTCAAAAGTTTAATAACTTTTCCTACTAACTGAAAATGTCTACCACTAATTTTAACGTTGTGAATGCTTACGTTGAAATTAAGGGAACAAACTTCCACGATAACTGAAACCACTAATTTACTCCACCAATTGCGAGGTTCTGAATGAGACTTTACAGTAAATTTTTAACATTAATTTAGACCAATAGTCTGAAAGAGAATATTGAAAATAAAGTGCCACGTAGCATTTTACGACGGGAATCTAAACCCATTCACGTTATAAAAGGATCTTTTTGAAAGGAAGAAAAAATAAATGGATGGTCGGTTAAGTTGCGAATCATCCTCGCAGGATCATATCCTGTGGATTACCGCACGGCTCCAAGAGAAAAATATATCGGAAGTTGTCGTTACCTCGGGTGCTTCGCTCGAGGCAGGATACTCGATGTTATTTATGCCCGAGCTTTCCAGAACACGTTACCTTCGGATATAGCCAAAGGGATTCTTGTCTGGATCATAGAAATGTCTACTGTTTAAATATCATTATGTGGTGATTTAAATTTACAGCAGTGTCCCCAGTTTTAAAAAAATACCAAAAATAAAAAATTGTTCAAGTGACAGTCGGACTCGCGCACGAAGGGCCACCGAGGACTTGAAAGATTCTATGTAAAATTCTTACTTAAAAGATAATGTTTAGTGAAAGTACTTTTTTATTTATAAACATTTATTTAATTCTGTTTTTAGTATTTGTTCTTATAGCGGCAACATAGATACATTATCTGGAAAAATTTCAACTGTCTAGCTATAACGGTTCATAAGATAGACCTTTGTGACAGACGGACGGACGGACAGCGAAGTCAGTAATAGAGTTCCCGTTTTTACCCTTTGGGTACGGAACCCTAAAAAAGCATAGGTAACTTAAATTTCACATCAAACAACATAAACCAACTTAACTGAATTTGAGACAAGAGCCCTAAAATATTGAATTAAAAATGCAAATATCTTAATTGCATAATTAAAACATAACATAATTAACGAAATATTATCGTAACAACAGCTATTTTAGAAACGTCTAGGTTTACTTATTTCACTGAGATTTATGAAAAAAAATCCTTTGCCTCGGATACAGATACCGCTACGTTTCGGAAATAGCTCAAAACAAAACAAAATTGAACGAGGCAACAAAAAACGCCAAAAAAAACTCGACGTCCTCCTCACGAGTTGTTTTCAGGCGCTTTTAAGAATAAAAAGTACGTCGAGGCAAACCGAAGTAGGTCAAGATAACTGGAAATAAATGCGTTTTGGGCGCATTTGTTGGAAAAGTTGGGCGACGAAATGCGACCTTCACCTGTTTCCAGGAGTTTTTCGCATAGTGTAGTTCATAACTTTTAATTCGTAATATATTCACAGTTATAATTAAAACACCCTAGATACACCCCAAATTAACTGACCATTTTTTGTTTCAGAACTCCAGAACAATGCCCCAGCGTCGTCTCCCTACTGGCCGAATCCTACAACCCCCACGTACGCTACGGAGCAGCCATGGCCTTGGGCATAGCCTGCGCAGGAACAGGTCTTCGTGAAGCCATAGCCTTGCTGGAACCAATGGTCATGTTCGATCCTGTCAACTTCGTCAGGCAAGGCGCTCTGATCGCGTCTGCCATGATCCTGATCCAGCAAACCGAGCAGACTTGTCCCAAAGTCAGTTTCTTTAGACAGACTTACGCTCAGGTGATCTCGAATAAGCACGAGGATGTTATGGCAAAGTTTGGAGCGATTTTGGCACAGGGCATTATCGATGCCGGAGGAAGGAATGTTACTTTGTCTTTGCAGTCCAGGACTGGACATACGAATATGTTGGCTGTGGTTGGTACCTTGGTGTTTACGCAGTATTGGTACTGGTTCCCCTTGGCTCACTGTCTGGCTTTGGCGTTCACGCCGACGGCTTTGATAGCATTGAACGCACAATTAAAGGTGAGTAAACATTGATAATATACAGGGTGGTCCTGCAGATAAAAGTGTGTTTAATTTTTATTTCTATTTCTGCCAAATACTTTCTAAAGTAACGTCAATATTTGGATGAAAATTGATGTCGAGGAGTTTTTTGACATGACCAATTTGATTTTGATGTCAGTATGGCTCCTACCTGTAGAGGGCGCCACCTACATATTTTTTAACTGGTTTGAAGAGTAATAACTTTTCTTCCGTACCTGTATAAAACTACTGAGCAAAAAAATATACATTTATGACGCATTTTACGTAAAAAAGGTCTCTTGGTAAAAATCGCTACGAGTAATGGTTCTCGAGATATTTGGAATCGAAATTATCAATACCTGTCATCATTGACATTTGACATAAATAATTAAACATGTTAACTAAATAGCTATTAGACTGAAATCACATAAATTTGAAATGATTTTGTGTCAAATCAAAAATTTAACAGAAATTGTTTTATCATCATTTTTTCGAAGAAAAATTTATGATTAATTTAAAAAAAAATAAAAAGTTTCCAAATTTATCATTTCAGTCAAATAACTATCTACTCAACATTTTAATTTTTTGTCAATAATTTCCATTATAAATATCTCGAGTACGGTTGCTCTTAGCGATTTTTACCAGGAGACATTTTTTACATAAAAAATTACGGAAATGTATATTTTTTCACTCAGTAGTTTTATACAGGTACGGACGAAAAGTTATTACTCTTCAAAACAGTTAAAACACATGGTGGCGCCTCCTACAAGTAGGAGTCATATTGACATAAATCAAGTCTCTCATGACAAAAAATACGAAGACACCAATTTTACTTCAAGAATTATTTGGAAAATATCATCAAATATGTGTTTTTCTTTCTCTCTCCAGATTATTTTACTGATTTTATTGTTTTCTGTTACAGATGCCAAAATTGGAGCTGAAATCCAACGCCAAACCCAGCCTGTATGCCTATCCGGCTCCTATGGAAGAAAAGAAACGAGAAGAACGCGAAAAAGTCCAGACAGCTGTCCTGAGTATCGCAGCGAGACAGCGAAGGCGCGACCACGATCGCAAACACCGCGATGAAAAAATGGACGTGGACGTTGAAAAGGACGACAAGAAGACAGCCGAGAAACCGGCAGAAAAAGCCGAAGAGAAAAAGGCAGAAGAGAAGAAGGTACTTTCTGCCAGCTCTTCTAGCACCATAGAAGAGAAGAAAGAGAAGAAAGATGAGAAGGAAGAGAAGAAGAAGGAACCTGAACCCAACTTCGAGATCTTGCAGAATCCTGCCAGGATTTTGAGGCAGCAATTGAAAGTTATTGCCGTCAATGATAATAGCCAGTATGTTCCACTGAAGGATGTGTCGATTGGGGGTATTATTATGGTCCGTAACCTTAAGCCTGACGAAGAAGAGTTAGTAGAACCTGTTCAAGGTAATTATTTTATTTTTTCATAGCTTTAAATTATGTAGGGGACGGGACCATTACATATCTTTATATTGTCTCTAAAGACTATAAATCTAAATTTATTTACACCGTAGCACCGTACATAAGTTTATTATTGACAAGTTTATTTATTACGAACATCTTTCAAAACACAAAATACACTTAGATCCATTTTATCACACACTAAACCAATGAATACAGAATAACAAACAAAAAATGTAATATACAAAATTCCATGTTAATGCGATCAATTTTACATTGGTGAAACATCTAGACCCTTATATGTTCGAATTAAAGAACATAAAGATTATTTAAGAAAGGGAGATTTTCACAAATCTAAGATTTGTCAGCATTCATGGAACACAGGGCACACAATAAATTTTAATAACGCCAAAATTATAATGAAAAAAGCGATAGCCTCTAAAAGAAAAATAAAAGAGTTTTTTTAATTCAATCTAATGAAAATAAATGTATTGTTCATGCATCTGTAGATGTTAGTAATGTATGACAATCGCTTCTTTGATTTTAAAGAACATAACATAAATAAACATAACATACGTAAAAATTAAAAATAATCATACAGAAAGTTTGGGGCTTTTTGGTTTTACCTTATTAAGTAATTGTTATCAGTTATCAGGTCGTGATTGTTAATTTTGAAGTTTAAGTTGATATAATGTCATTTTAACAGAACGTCAACGGTTCAAAAACCGTCTACAAATAGACGTATCAGTTTTAAAAAACTAAAGTGTTCTGGAATAGTTGAATTTAATCTGTCATTTTTTTAGACAATATTTTTTTGAAAATTAAATAATTTATTGGTATTATATATTATTACTTTATTTTGTATTTTTTCAGCTTTTGGACCTAAAGGTGAAGATGAGAAGGAGCCTGAACCTCCAGAACCCTTCGAATGGTTGGAAGATGATGTTTAAGTTTTTTTATAATTAATAAAATATATTTATAATCCACATCTAATTCTTAGAATCGTAAAAATATGTAATGTGCTGATTATAGTGAATGTCTTAAATGAATAAACGCTATTAATAAACTATATTGTTGTTTAATTTTAACCATAATTAGGTACTAAATAAATAAAGTTTTTATTATTTCCCATGTTTTTTTTCTGCCCTTCTTTAAGTCCCGACCCAATATCTTACCAGATTTATATACTTTGCATAAAACAAATTTATAAAATAATCAAGAAATAACATAAAATAATGAAAAACGCATTAAACCAAAAAATTCAAATCATAACGAATGTGCCAATGAAACGTCAAACAAAACAGTAGAAGGAATTTTTATGAGGTGGCTTCCGTGTGTAATGCATGAATATAAAAATAGTATCTATTAAACTCCTCGTATATTTATTCAATGAAAATTATAAATAGAATAAGACCCTATACGGGGTGTTTCTAAAAAGTGGCTCACAATTATAATTTTTTTATTTTTTCAGATAAAAAATAAGATTTGGTATATTCGTATATGACATAAATTAGGATTGATTGGCGTATTCAATTGTTTTCGGTCACTGAAAACAACTGAAAAAATAAAATGTTTTAAGGGTGAGCCACTTTTGAAAAACACCCGGTATATTGAACTCTGCAGCAAGTAACGTCTGCTTGGCGAATAGTGTGCATTTCTCATCTCTCAGACGGCACAGAGACCAATAAGAAAACCTCGTTTCTATATCTTATTGAGTTTTATTACCGACATCTAATATCACGCTTCTTTTAACATTAAATCAACAGATTTTTCTACGAGACGACATCTAGCGTGGCCAAAAAAGAAACTAGATTTTATATGGTCTTGTTTCGATAGAACTCGCATTAAAAATAACTACCTACATAGATCTATAAAAGTAGATTGGAATTTAGTCCAAATTATTCTTATTAGACTCGTGTAGAAAACGATAGTTACGAAGGAACTAACATATCGAAGTGTCCTTTGTACCAATCAGTAGGGAATTCAACCCTCTATCTATAAACAAAATTTCAACCCTATAGGACACAATTTATTTTTTGTAAAAATAGTAAATTTATAAGTAAAAATAAGCAAAGGGGTTAAACTTAACGTCTAACTATAAAAACACACAATGAATTTATTGTACTTAACTATATACCTATCCTAAAAATCAATTACCTTAATACCTTTGTTCAAATAACACCATGCACGGCAATGTCAATATGACAGTAAATAATATTGATGTCACTAGTTTAAAAAATGAGCGATTCGGAAAGTATTCCCTCTGCCATTGAAGAAGAGGCATTCAGAGCCATTTCTGGATTGCTTCCAGCAAGATCGAAACAGAAGTATGAATATACATACCCTAAGTATGAAAAATGGTGCACCGTAAAAAAGTACACAACTATGGAAACCGTTTCTTTCCATCACATATTTTTCAAATTTAGTGCAAAATAAATGTTTTACAAAATATTTTTTTCACTTTGGTAGTCATCTAAACAAGGAGTGCGGTAATGAAAATGCGTAAGTTATGAAGCTATTAATTCACTCAAAATGCGTGAGTAAAGGAGATGGCCGCTTTTGAAACTAGATGATTCAGTTAAGAGCTTCTTAACTCACTGACGTAAATAAATGCATTTTTCCACATCTGTTCCCACCATCTCAAATCTATAAATTCATCTCCTCCAGTCAAATTAATAAAAATTTCCATTAATTCCCTTTTCTCGCGTACAAATCGAAAAACGATATCCCCTCCCTTCTAATTTGCCAACTTTTCTTTTGTCTCATTTCCCTCGAACGTCGAACGGAATTTCCACTGATAAATCGCCTTCAAACGACACAAACTTTCTTTGGGCGACGCAGACTTGACTAGCCCGTAGAAAACCGGGAATTGCCTGTGGAAAAAATGCCTCCAGAACCGATTAATCACCTCGATCCACCCCGCTAGTTCCGCTCTGCACCGGCTTCCCCTAATTCCGAGCCGTCCGTCGTCTTACTTGAGACGGCGTTCCCCCACTTTCTTTTTCAACCCGGAAGTTCGGTTGTGTCGGTCAGTAGGTCACAGGTTACATTTTTCGGCTATTTGTATTGGGGGTTGTAGGGTATGACACGATATTTTGGTGTATACAGGGTGTATATTCTAAAGGCTGGCAAATGTTAGTCTTGGGTCGAGATTTCCGTATGTAAGAAGAGTACAATGGCGTTTATAATGTACTGAACAAAGAGAGAACAGTAAAAACGTTGCCAAACGTATGAAATAAACCGAGAAACTGTATACATTGTTAAGAGACGTGATATAGCATATTCGTCACGGTCGACTCAATAAGTACTAAAAAAATATAAAGAAAAAAGAAAGAGTAAAATATAAGAAAGAGAAGAAAAAAAAAAGAGAAGAAGAAGAAAAATATAAGAAACGTATACATAATTCATAAACTTCACGATTTAATTACGTCTCGTGATATTTTATCTCTATATTTATTAACGAGAGTCGTAATTTTTCCTATAACTTGTAAATTTTTAAGTGCAAGTTAAGAAACACTTGCACTTTTGGCAAAAACAAGTGGAATTGAGTTGGTGTTCGACAGTGGTCGCGTTATTAGAACTCTGAATTCAAAAATCGATATCTCGAAATACATTAGAAATAATTGATTGTAGTTTTTTCAGAAAATTTCTTAATATTTCTGCTATATTTTCTTCGCAGACAGTATGTGAAAATCTTTATAAATAAAAAAGTTACATGATTGCTGAAAATCGATATGCACTAAAAATAAATGGATGGATTTTAACATTTTTCAACTGAAATTCCATTGAATAAAAAAAACAAGCATATTTTTCTTCATTTAAACATCTTGTAAAAGATCAGAACTTGAAAATAAAAAAAACAATATCTAAAGTTCTTGAGTTACCGCATATTATGTGTTAAAAAGTTGAGTTTTTGAATTATAACGATTACTGACGTTTTCTCGTTATAAAAAAATGGACAGCGTAACGATGTCCTTATAATCCCATTTCAGATGCTTAGAAACATATCTAATGATTTCATCTAGTTATCTTTTCGAAAAAAAAGTCTTTTAAAAATAATTGGCCTGCGATCGTGATTTTACTTTACTTGCTAGGTAAAGGCGTAACTGAGAAATGTGACAACGCTGCAATAGCACACCGTCGCATTTCTCTAACTCCGACTTAATAAGATTCCTATGCTATTAACTTCCTATGCGTAAGAGTTGTCAGCATGCGATATTTTGTGTGGATAATCATGTTTTTTAAATATTTTTCTTGGTTGCTGTTTTATTTATATTGGTGTATTTTTTTAATGTGTTGATTATATTATTTCTATGAATATTGATTAGGTATATAAAAAATTCAAAAAGCTATTATAGAGCCACAACAATTTGTATGTTCTAAGTAGGATTTTTCTCTGTATTGCCGCCTTTTGACATGACAAATTTGATTTTGATGCCAATATGACTCCTACTTGTAGAGGGCGCCACCTACATATTTTTAACTGGTTTGAAGAGTAATAACTTTTCGTCCGCACCTGTATAAAACTACTGAGCAAAAAAATATACATTTACGACGCATTTTACGTAAAAAAAAACATTTAAATAAACAGCAATATTTTTATACGTCGACTTGACGAGTACGTCACCGCAAATCGCTCCGCCCACTCATTTTATTGGCTACTTGCAAATTTGTCGAATTTTTATTGATGGGACGCGTCGTCTAATTTTTTACGAAAAACATCGGGAGAATATCGTTTCCCCTCTCACGGATACCCCGTAGCTACAGAACGGACAGACGTACTGTAGTTATTAGAGTGAAATCATATATTTGAAATGTTTTTGTGCCAAAAGTTCAACAGAAACTGTTTTATCGACATTTTTTCGAAGAAAAATTTATGATTAACGTAAAAAAAAATAAAAAGTTTCCAAATTTATCATTTCATGTAATGTATATTTTTTCACTCAGTAGTTTTATACAGGTACGGACGAAAAGATATTACTCAAAATCAGTTAAAACACAATAGGAGTTATATTGACATCAAAATAAACATTTTCATGTCAAAAAACTTCCAGACACCAATTTTCATCCAAATATCGATATTAGTTCAGAAATTATTTGGAAAAATCGAAATAAAAATGAAACGTCTACACCCTGTATCTCCGAAGCTAAGCCTTTTAGGACATACAGTTATACGAACTTTTTTACTTATTTTTATCTGCTGCCGAAGTTTCCGGAATACAGTTTGGATCACTCTGTATAACTATTCAAAGTACGTTGCTGAATCTTTAAACTGAAATTCCATTACCCTCCCTAACTTTTTCCCCAGTACACGGGCAATAAAAAGTGCCGCGCTACACCAGCTGAGGTATTTCGCAGCCATCGAACAGCAAGAGTTTAAACTGCTTTTGAGCAGCCGGCGGAAAATTAAATGACAAATATTTCAGGGGGCTTGAGGCGTAGCGGGAGGTTTATTCAGGGGAAGTGATTGGATGGCAGGTTAATCGAATAAACGGAGACAATCGCAGCGAAATTAAATTACTACCGTTCGCTTTTAATTATGCCGTAAATATCGCAAATATGGCGAGATATTTTGAGCGACGATAATAAAGGAGGACGTGAACGGTGACCTTATTCTAGTTATTAAACAAACATTTTCAGATTCACTATAGAAGATTGTATATTAAGGTGTTTCAAAATAATCAATTTTTTTTTGTTTTTCTTATGGTATTGAAAAGTTGAAAGTACAGGGTGGATCAAATTCGACGCTATTAAATGGAAACATCTTTTTCTGTAGGAGCTTAATTTTTGTTAAAAACAAGATGGTAAAAACCGCATATCGATATCTGTTACCGTTTCGGAGTTACGGGGTGTTTATCAAAAATATACATTTTTAACAATTCGCTGTTACTTTTTTGCTATGGAAAATTTTGTATTTTTATGAAAACATTTCCAAAACACCTTTTTACGTAGATTTTAATGGTTTACGTATATTTTTTTTTAAATTAATAATTCAAGAATTATCAATAGAAAATTTGATTTTTTATATGGAACACCCTGTATGTTTTTACTTTATTGAAAATAATTTAA